GTAAAACAAGGGTGGGTCCTTTTCCTGCAATTCAGTCATGGGCATATTGCCGAGAGTGAATCTTGGTAAAAAGTGGTGAGAAAATGGTAAAGAAGAGATTCATTGAAATTTTGCAAAAACGAGGCAACGCACAAGCCGGAACTAGCAAACCGGCAAAAGTAGATATTTAAACAATTATTGAAAAAGATAAGGGAGAGTCATTTGGCTCGGCTTGGATTCGCCGGAGAAACGGCTCATGTATTCTGATAACGAGCGACTATTGCGGTCATTCGCGAAAGCTAATGTGCTATCTACCATCGTCGGTCTTCAATGAAACAAAGAGGCTGGCCACAAAGCCATTAACAACGATTTTTGCAAGGGTACTGCAGCGCGAATGTCTCCGGCACTGGTCGAATTCGACAACCAGATTCCTATAGAACTTGATTCTCATTTCCGATGGCAATTATCATTCCGCTTACTAGTTTTTTCGATTAGATGAAGCCATTGATTATCGTCCATTTTTTGTTACAAACAGTTTAATTTCGTTGCCAAGGTGCTGGCCACAAGGGTATAAACGGTATTACCCAAAGCAATCAGCGGCTCGCAACGAGTTTGTTAACAATAGCAGGATTTCGAACACTTACATGATGATGATGTCCCAAATTACAATCGAGATTGATCGATGAACAATGAAAGCCTGGGACAGCAGGTGAATATAATTGTTTCTGTTAGGTTTCCGAAAGTATTACGACACCGTGGACCAAAAAATTTTGTCCAAGACTTTACAACTCTCTGTGTTGGAAGACCCTTTGTACGACATAATTGAATGCATACACAAAAGCAAATTTACCAGCTTTGTAGTAAAAGGTTTGCATTTTAAGGCTCTCTCAATGATTTCTGGTATTCGCCAAGACCAACAGCTCGCACTACTTTATTTTCTGCTTGTGGGGAAGTGTCAGGGCTTGTGCTAAATAAGGACTCTAGCCTTTAAGGATTGCCTGCTACGGGACTGTTAGGGCATACATACCTTTATTGGCGTTTGACGACTTTTTTGACGACTCTAAGCTTTCCTAAGAGACTGCAGGGAAGATCTCACACGCTCTCCTTAGAGAGATAACTTCTGAGGCTTTTTCTGTCCTGCATGTTCAACCGGACACAATCGATTTCTTCTATCAGACAGATCTGTTAAAACTGAATGTTATAAGAAAGTTGCGGTCTTTGCACCAGGCACACAACTCGGTGCATGGGTTATGCGAATGGAATAGGCGATTCAGTGACCAGAAAGTAAGACCTCCGGAAAGTATGGATTCAACAACGACGAATCGCGGCAACACAAGTGGCACGTAGTATGAAGAATATGATTTTAATGATTGAAATCATCGTTCTTTTTTACTTGCTATGAAATGCAATCGTCTTATATATCCCTTGATGAGCGAAAGCTACTTTTCCCAGCTTATACAAGTAGTTCACATGAGCACATGCAACTGCTACAGTCAGTAATCACAGCAAAGTTAACTCTGGAGTTGCTAGTAAAGCCCATAGGTTGGCATCGACTTGATGATGTTTCAGTTGCAGTGAACACACAACAGATAAAGCATACGCTTTTAGAGCTGACTTAATGAAAGGACAAATACTTGATGCCTGAACATTATGAGCCTGCCGCAAACAAACAGGAGCATCCTCTTCGGTTGACATCTTCAGCTCAGGATCTTCGACGGACACTATCACGCCATGAACGCTCACCTGGTACGGAGTTAAAGCAGAAGCTAGCGAACCGATTGCCTCTACACCATAGTATTTGGACCAAGTCACATGAGGTGGCTTAACTCATTCGGCGGACCTACCTAACGGGCGTCAAGCTGGTTGTAGTTCGAAGACTTTTATCTGCCGTATTTATATCCCTTTTCACCAAGCTGTAAAGTAGTAAATGACGTGTCAAAAATACAGAAGTTTTGATCAGACCTTAGGTGGACGGAGAACCCTTAAATTCGATATTATCAGACCAGAGATGCTTTCCAGAAAATATATGACGGGATCGAAGACCGTACACTACAAGAAATACGTATGGCGCTAGCTTAGACTCCTAACTTTTACTCAGCATTCCCTGGCCTAATACTTAGGTCAAACCTATAAGGATGCACAATGAAGGTGGTGTGCAACAGCTATCTTACTAGCTTCTCCCGGTATACCCTTCGGACCAATAATGAGCTAAATCTAGCATTGCATCTTCGCCAGGCTCCGGAAGCTATACGTGGCACAATCTAAAGAGCGAAAACAAGAGCCGCCATGGAAGAAAAGCCACGGAGAAGAGTTTTTATATGTGCCGGGCCCGCCACATACAATTACATTGCATCAGGTGGAGGGTGGCATAAACTGGTTCTGTCAGGGAAAAATGTCAAAGCTCGACGTGAGTATCCTAAATTAAACATAGACATCACTTAACACGTTTCGGGCACAAAGCCTCTTATTTAAGGCGGACCCGCAGCATTGCCAGGTTCCGTGGTCCGCCTTGAATACATCGCCTGATCACATTATAACATCAGCGCTAAACGAAGGCAAGCCTTTCGGCGTTACGAAAAAGAGCGAGCGGGACCATGATGGGTATTGTTTACCGATAAAACGTATAACCAGTAGCGAAAAAAAGACAACGCGCAGCATTATGTCAATTCCTTAGAAAGCTCAAAAGCATAGTCATTTTATCACCGATTACTATTTTACAAGGATGTCGGGTCGCAACTCAGCGAATCATCTTGTATTATGATGGTTGGACCTCAAACAACAGCTGCAGAAAACAGCCAGACTGACGGGGCAGCGTTGAGATTGTGGCTCAATTGGTTTTGGACTGTGCGGGCGTAGCAGAAGTCTAGAATAAATTGGTAAGGCAGTTCACGGGAGACGTAGCCGCGTTTCAGTGAACAGAACAATTTTCCACCGCTTGTGCCAGCCTACATGTATACTGCATACCCTCTTACCGTTAAACCATCCAGGTGTACGGTTCCTGATAACGGGGAACGGCTTAAAGCATGTGGAAGAGGATTTGGCGTATTCTTGCAACGCTATGCCGAACCCAAATTTTGGCTGACAGTAATGCGATGCTCTATGAGGTAGAAGAAATTGCCAACCCTGGGAGCACACAAAATTATTAGGCTTCCTAAAATTTTTACCTGCGAGCAACAGCTAAAAGACGAATCGTCATTTTACGTCAGCCGTCAGTATAGAACTGCTGTATGCATTCGTTAAGTAACTGGAAAATGAACGTATAGTCTCACTATCATTTAAAGACGCCAGCCACTACCGGTCCTCCCTCTCGAACCTCTTGGCTCAGGACCATCCAGAAATTTTGTACGTAGTTACCTCAGTGCAGATAAAACGTTTAAATCTCCCAAACGAAGGCATGTTTGGTGTCATAAAGCCAAAAAAGCTTTTCCATCTGATTGGAGATTGTTTGCTTTGAGCTTAAAGATTACGTCAGATGAAAGAAACTGGTGTTTTTATTCAATAATATATATTTTGACTGATGTTGTACTATACAGATCATGATTTAGATGAACCCTAGGCATAATTCAGAGAAGACGGTTGTACATAAAGAGCTTAAGAATCTCAAAAAATAAGAAAGTCAAATCTGGCTAGTTTGCTAAAAACGATTTATAGTTTTTACATAATTTATCTCAATACCAGTCTACTTTTATTTTACATATAGGCATGGGATATTTATCCTTTCCTGGCTATACGTATGGTACTTCAGATATCAATCCGTATGGCTACCACCACTCACAGCACCCTAAATGCTTGACTTTACTAGTTTATCACACTCAGACAAATTTATCCATATTTAATTGTGCATGTTGTAACATGATTTGTTTTCATTCGCTTTTTTAAAAGTGGTCTTGTAGTCCCTCCATTTTGCTTACTTTGTAACGACTTGGCAACGTAAGGTAAAAAGTTAGCAGAAGATAGTTCTTGTTTTACCTTTACCTTGCCGCTACCTTTACCCGGATGATCTTTGGATGACTCTAACTATACCAATTTAACTAGGGGGTTACACAGCATTATGACCTTTTTGATTGATCGTAAAACCGTGGAGATGCAGATGTATGTAAATTATGACGACATCGCCGGCCTACAAAATTGTTAGTTTAGGTGGAATGGCGTTGGATCAACTCTTGTACTCCAGGTGGTAAAGCGAGCGCAAAACACTCTTGCGGTATCTAATCAGAGTTCACGTTTGGCATCATAAGCAGTAACATCAAATTCGTTGTGCAGCAATTGATAAACACATCTTCAGTCTTCCTAATTTCCTGTTTTGCCTCCATATTCTGAGCGACAGACTGCACGTCTTTGTCGCAATATGGTACGAGTTTGAATTCCACTTGCGCTCAATTCTCCGGAGCTTTGAATATACCTGACACCTTTTGATGAGTGCAGGCGTATGGTCATATTAAGTACAGACAACGACAGCAAAGGCCGAGTGCACGTAAATTCACGCCCGGCGGCGCTGTTGACGCGTTAGAATGTTGTTGATGGCTCCTGTAACGGGGTGAATCGTTACATAACAATTTATAAGAAATTGTTAATAGAATATAACTATAAGAGTTGTATTCACAGAATATTGTCATAAGGACAAATATTCTGTAGCACTTACGAGTAGTTCCTTATTGGTTGATATAGGCCATTATATCAACCAACGAAGACGCGCCACGACAGACGCACGCAATGAGCGGTGAACAGATAGTTGATATGCACATTTGTATTTAGACATAGTTAAATGAAGATAAATAGTGATTTATTGCAGACATTAACTATTATAAATACGGTTCTACTTTTTACTTTAACCAAGTACTCGCTTCTTCTTACCGTCTTCCTCTGCACGTACCAGTGTACGTGAAGTTCCGAGGCACCGCCTCATTCTGTCGTCAGAATAAGCAGCTTGTACTGTCATCAGTACAAGCTTCAGGGTGCCCTGTTACACCTGGTAGCACTTTGTGGTCCGTCCAAGGACCACGTTCACATCTAACGTGAATATGTTGGATGATGAAGATGACCAAAGCTTTCACGCTACGCGTGACGGCTACTCCCATTTGAGCGATGTCGAATGGGATGCGGTTGAACGAATGGGTTCGACCATGGGCATCCATGCTGTTAGCGTCATGCTAGAGGCTCTCAATAGAGATGCCCAACATGCTACTATCGCCAAGCTCATTCAAAATGAACTTGACGCCGAACGCGAGAAAGTAGCCTTGCTTCACCAACAAGGTTCTCAACAAGCAGAGTTGTTGAGCGAACAGGGTGCTCAGCAGTTTGAGCTGTTCAGACAGTAGCAGGCTGCTGCTGGTGGGTCGATGCACTCGCGTCGACCCGAGACCTTGAAGATTGACATCTCCAAGTATAGGGGAGTCGAAGGGGACTCTTTGTTAAGATAGTTCGTCGAATTGGATGACGCCATAAGGGCGCGTCGCATCGATGACGGGGATATGCAAGTTGCATTTGCCCAGTCAAATCTGGCAGGACGTGCCAAGACTTGGGCACTGGGGCTCAAGTTGCACGACCGATATGCGTTTGGGTCGTTGGAAGTCTTCAAGTCGCGGCTCAGACAAACGTTTGAACCGCCTAGAGCTGAGTTCAGAGCTCGAACCGAACTCTTGAAGCTCAAACAGGATAAGCGTGATGTGCACGCTTACGCGCAACATATACGACATCTCACGAGTTGTATAAGTTCCAACTCGGTTGATGAACACAGGTTGGTTTCGGTGTTCATGCAGGGTCTTGCGGATGGTCCCGTCAAGACTCACCTGTTCCGACTTGAACCAGATTCACTAGAACAAACAATTTCCATTGCGGAATAGGAAGACTTCAGTCTGAGACAGGCTCGCACCAGCTCGACATCATATCGTACACCGAGACGATATGACAGCGGAGGTCCAGAGCCGATGGAACTCTGTTATGTAGAGAGCGAGAAGGCTCGCTCTACAGACTACAAGAAGTTGCAGAAATGCAACAGATGTCAGAAGACAGGACACTACGCTTACGAGTGTAGTGCCCCTCGTCCAGTGTCTCGCAACACTGGGCGTAGTGACCGTCCACCCATGAGAAAGGGGAAGGGACGCGGGTCCGCTGTTGGTGCAAAGACGCAACAACGGGATGGACCGTCAAAAAACGGACAGGATCAGTAGGTGCGGAGCACCCTACTGGTCCAGCAACGTCAAGAGAATTTGTAGGCCTCTTGATGAAAGTTGCTCCCAACACACAAACGTTGTGCATTGCTGCTCTAGGTAATGAGATCTCACTCATTACCTTAAAACTCGAAGTGACAAATAAGTTGTCCCTTCGAGCTCTAGTCGATTGTGGGGCATCCAACAATTTTGTGTGACGCCAATCGCTAGAAGATGGTCACTTTAAGTTCAGTGAATGTGACACACCTCCTACGAGGATGGCGGTACGTCTTGCGACAGGCGCATCTGTAACCGTCATGAAGCGTATAGTGAAGATCCACTATACGCTAGAAGATACCCAATATGACAATGGCTTTATCGTATCGGATTTGGATGAAAAATTTGATGTCATCCTTGGAATACCGTGGCACAGAAGGTATAAACCACGAGTAAACTGGCAACATCGAACAGTAACGATGCCTGCCGCTTGTTCATCAGATGGCCATCTGATGAACGTTTTGGAGCGTCCACAAGCGTGTGGATGTACAACGAGTGAGTGCTATGGCCTCACTTGTGGTACGGTCGTTAGTACGACTGCACAAAACCTTAGTGTAACAAAAAGGTACACTTCGGAGCAAAGTTCCGGCGGCTGTGAGGAAACACAGGCTGCGCCGAAGGTCCACCGCTCGAATAAGTCGAGTGGACCGGAACAAAGATGTATCCCTAGCAGGGAACATCTAGAAGAGACACAACCGATTGCTCAGGTTAAGCGAAACGATAATCCTAGATCGACCGGAGAGTCTTTCGTAGAGGATCTCGCTGTGGTTGCGCAACCCCAGCTAGAGGAAGTTAAGGGAATAAGTCCCGATATTACAAATACGGCGGAAATAAGTTCCCCGAAACCCGCGTGAATAAGTCCCCGGGAAGCCGAAGGAATAAGTCCTTCGAAGACTGAGGGAATAAGTCCCCAGGAAATGACAGAGACATTGAATGTCATAGTCAATAACGGATCAAGCGTAGGCGCTTATACACTTGATCTGATTGCGCCTCCGAAGTTGACTTCGGAGATAACTCAGTTGCCAACGCTCGAACATAAAAGGTTCTTGCGTGATCTGCGTAGTGGCAAAGTCAATCAGATCTGCGTACGCGTCGCTGACAACGAGTGTGTAGCCGACATAAGGTCAGCAACAGTGTTTACTGAGAACGAGAGAGTTCTCAGTAGTTCATCTATGGACGAGAGTGCCCTAGATGAAAAGACACGAATTGAGCGATATGAGTCCCAATCATGGGAATCGCTCAAGGAAAATCCTCTCTATGAAGATTTGGTTGAATTCAAGGATGTATTCCCTGAAACTGTTCCGTGCAAATTACCGAAGGATAAAGGTATTCGACACGAAGTCGAGCTTAAACCAGGCTCGAAGTACTGTGTCATGAAGCAGTGGCCACTTCCTCGTGAACAAGTACTTGCGATCGACAAGTTCTTTGCCGATCGTTTAGCTGCGGGCCATGTGAGGGAATCAACTTCCCCACATAGCTCTCCGACCTTCTGTGTGCAAAAAGCAACAGGAGGGTGGCGGATAGTGCATGCATTTAACAAATTGAATGCTGCAACGGTACCGGCTCAGACGCCGATACCGAGGAAGGACGTAATCATTGATGGTATGTCAAAGAGTACCATCTTTTCGTCCATAGATTTGATGGATGGCTTCTATCAAATCCTTATGCGAGAACGGGATATACCCTATACCGCAGTTAGCACGCCTAGCGGCATGCTCTGGGGATGGCTAGTAATGCCAAAAGGGCTTAGTAATGCCCATGCCACGTTCAACAGATGTGTGTCACATCTGTTGAGACCAGTATGAGAATTCGGGCCGAGTTATTTCGATGACGTTTTCATTCATAGTCGGGCTATGTATGGAAAGCCGGATGTTGAGGTTCACAGGTACCACGTCCGACAGGTTCTTACAATCATGCGAAAGCATCAATTGTATGCAAACCTCAAGAAGTGTATATTTGCAGCAAGCGAAATACCGCTTCTTGGGTGCATCGTTGGTAAGAACGGTGTACGTCCTGATCCCGAAAAGATCAAGGCGATCACCGACTGGCCTGTGCCGGTTGATGTCAAAGGTCTTCGAAAATTCTTTGGGCTAGCGGCGTATTTGCATAAGTATTCACGCAATTACGCCGAGATGACTGTACACCTCTCTCGTTTGTTGAAAAAGAACGAGAGGTGGTCATGGAACGCTGAATGTCAGCGCTCCTTTGATGGTATCAAGCAGAGCTTGATACAATCCCCAGTCCTCGCAATAGCCGATCAGGACAGGCCATTTCGTGTGGTCTGTGATGCCAGCGATTTCGCAATCGGCTGTGCATTAATGCAGTACGATCTTGAATGCGTTGAACGCGTCGTCTGCTATCAGTCGCGTCAGCTGCAACCAGCTGAGCGGAACTATCCAGTGCATGACAAGGAACTCCTTGCCATGAAGTATGCACTCGCGAAGTTCAGATTCTATCTATTAGGAGATAGACCCTTCATTGTTTACACTGACCATGCGTCATTACGCACGGCAGTGAACAGCCCGCACCTTTCACAACGAATGGCGCGGTGGTTGTCATTCTTTGCAGAATACAACTTTACGGTCGAGTACAAACCAGGACGACTCAACGTCGTCGCTGATGCACTCTCACGTCGTCCCGACTTTGAAGCAGTCGCGAAACCCAACAGTGAGGCAGTCACTGTTGCGGTTATGACGTCCTCAGTCCCATCTACAACGTTGTATGATGATGTGAGGCGGGCATACGCCCAAGCTGGTGAGATAGTGAAGTTGTTGACACACCTCTTCCAACCATCTCGAGAATCGTTGAAACGATTGTCGTCTGCGTATCGATCTGCATCAGATCGATACACTGCTCGTAGCGGTTTACTGTATTATACAGCCGTTTCTGGTGACACACCACGTGTTGTCATTCCAGATGATACTGATCTGCGTTTGCGGATCATGTTCGAGTATCACGATGCTCCTACAGGAGGACATCGTGGCCGAGAGAAAACGTATCTCACGGTAAGTCGAGACTTTTACTGGCCCCGCCAGTATCAGTTTGTGCGAAAGTATGTTCGCGCATGCGAAGTCTGTCAACGAGTGAAGTCAAGTCCTTCACTGCGTGCACATTTACAGCCTCTACCGGTTCCGGCAGAGTGCTGGGAAATCATCTCAATGGATTTCGTCTTCGTGTTACCCAAAGACGCACGCGGGAATACGGGTATTCTCGTATTTGTTAACAGATTCAAGAAAATGGTACACCTTGTGGCTGTACCAGAGTCAATCACGGCAAGTGGCTGTGCTTGTGTCTTTATTGACACCATCTTCCGACTTCATGGGTTGCCCCGTGAACTCGTATCAGACAGAGATCCACGATTCACTGCTGATTTCTGGCGCTCCGTGTTCAAATCACTCGGAACGCGCTTGAAGATGTCTACATCTGATCATCCAGAGTCAGATGGTCAGACGGAAAGTGCCAATCGTGTCCTCGAAGAGATACTTCGAGGATACGTACACTCCTTTAAGAGTTAAAGTGAGTTTTTGCCAATGGTAGAGTTTGCCATTAACAACTCGGTGCATGCGTCCACGACACATACACCGTTTTACGTGAATGGCTTGCGCCATCCGCGTGTACCCACCTTACTAGAGTGTAACTCTGGTCCAAGGGGGGGAGAGACTCGCGCGAGCAAAAGACGATTTGGTTCACGCTTATCACGCTCTGACGAAGAGGTCACTGCGTTTGATGCCGATATAGACAACATCGATATCGAAGAAGATGATGCCAGTGAGAGCGAGGAAGCCATCACTGAAGAAAAGGTTGATGTTGCTGCAGTGCACTCACAGCGCACTGAATCTAACGAGTCAGCAGACGAGTTCATACTGGCTCGTAAAACGGTAGTCCGTTTTGTGCAAGACTCCATCGCCGAAGCGGTGGATAAGCAAAAGCAAAACGCTGACAAGAATGGAAGGGCAAACACTCTTTTATTTAATAAATGTGACTTAGTCCTACTGTCTACGGTTAATCTACCAAAGCATGTAGTGACTAACTTGGGTAGCAGTAAACTACTACCCAAGTACATCGGCCCATTTCGTGTTTTGCACCGCCTAGGCAATGCATACACGATCGAGTTACCACGTAAGATGCGAACGCATCCCACGTTTTACGTTGGTCGGCTTAAGCCGTACCATCATTACGCTGCTTCTTCCGATGAAGAATGCCCTTGCGCTCAAGCATCTCGCAGAGAGCCTTGTGCTCCCGATGGTGGGCATCGGCAAGGGTCTGAAGAGCAGTTATCTCATCCTGAGACCGATCAACAATCCCACGAGATACCCTTAGCTCGTCACGAAGAGATGTCAGAGCTCTCTCGTTCTCAAGCTGAGCAAAGGCAAACTCAGCTCGATGCTTCGAGACAGTGTCCGCCATTTGGAGACGCCTGTCCCGCTCATGTTCGAGATCGCCGCGTAACGCAAGCTTTACGCAATCAAAGAGGCTCTCGGGAGCACACGGATCCCCACGATCGTGTGGAGAGCGTCTTCCCTCCTCCTCCACCTCCATTAGAGGGCTCTCGCGGTGGTCAGCGCTATCTAGTTGAGCAACTGTTGAACCACCGCGACGTGAACGGACGTCGGACGAGTTATCTCGTCCGGTGGCGCGGCTATCCCCCGTCCTGGGATTCTTGGGAGCCCCGCTCCCAACGATGGTTGACGTACTGGGTTTGGTTGAGCAGTACGACGCGGCAAATCCTGTGCCGCAGAAGGACCGCCGGAGAAAGTCTTCCCGGCACGGTCGTAAAGGGATTTCAAGTTGTCAATCCCTTCGTACATCTCAGTGGAGATACGTACGCGCCACCACGGGCAAGTAAGGAGGTATGCCTCCTTAGGTGCTCGTGCAGAGTTGTTCACGCAATATGGGCACGAGTCTCCCCAGGAGAGACAATGTAACCCACTCTCCCTAGACAGACGATGCAGCTTATAGCGTGCACCTGTCGGGGTTCTTTTCTCAAACTTATCACGAGCTTTGATAAGTTTGTCGTTCCAAACGTCACGACCTACATCCTCGAGGTTATGGATGTAAGCGTTCCACTCTTGAAGCAGTGAGGGACCATCACGCTTGTGATTCCCACTGTACCATCGATGTTTAAAGAAAGCATCGATGATGAAATCATTCTCAGCGCGATAGTTTTTCGCGCTGGGGTCAAGGTGATGGATCCTTGACATATCGAACAACCGTGTTCGATACCGATCACTCATCGTGACCGACAAGTGATCCATGACAGATTTAGGAGGCATCCATGCCTTCTTCTCGGGAGCGAGACGCAACACACTGCGGTCCCGCTCTTCCTGCTATGTGCCGACAGAAGTACTGGCACCTCGCTGTGAAGTGGTGTCCATAGGAGAACCGACACCACTGTTAGCGCCCGAGCCTCGCGACCTCGAGCGCCTTCGCTTCGGCGATGGTTCATCTGATTAATCAGATGAACCAAAGATGCTGCTACGCATAGCATCATCCATGCCACGCTTGGCAGGCGGCTTGGATTCGATCGCCGTCGATACGGATCCATCTTCCGTATCAGGAGAGTATGAGACACCGAGCTCATACTCTGTGGAGACACGAGTGTCTTCATGCATCACCGAGTGACACAGGCTGGGTCGCTTCAGCAACCGATGAGACATCAGTTCCTGTGGTTTCTGCTTCGGCGTCCGCACAGAGACGTGCGGACACGCTCTCGGCGGCCTTGCTCGCGCATCGCATGGGCTTGTTAACCATGCGATGAAATGTTGGAAAGTGGACTCGGACCAACAAGTGCAAACCCTGTCCTAAATGATTTGGGACGAGTATCCATTTATTCAATCAGTCACTAAAGTGACTGATGGTTAGGGGGGGTGATGTAACGGGGTGAATCCATACATAACAATTTATAAGAAATTGTTAATAGAATATAACTACAAGAGTTATATTCACAGAATATTGTCATAAGGACAAATATTCTGTAGCACTTACGAGTAGTTACTAATTGGTTGATATAGGCCATTATATCAACCAACGAAGACGCGCCACGACAGACGCACGCAAGGAGTGGTGAGCAGATAACTGATTTACACATTTGTATTCAGACATAGTTAGATGAGCATAAATAGTGATTTATTGCAGACGTTAACTATTATAAATACAGTTCTTCTTTTTACTTAAACTAAGTACTCGCTTCTTCTTACCGTCTTCCTCTGCACGTACCAGTGTACGTGAAGTACGAGGCACCGCCTCATTCTGTCATCAAAATAAGTAGCTTGTACTGTTACCAGTACAAGCTTCAGGGTGCCCCGTTACAGCTCCGGCTTCCCGCAGTAGTCCTTCATCATCTATTAAAGGGTGGGTAGTGAGTCAATCCTGACCTTTTGACACGAAAGAACGTCGATGAGCCGAGAATTCTTGACGGCGCCGATTAAAAGACAATTCGTCGATTTTTTCGCTCGCGGAACCGCCCTCACGAGCAGGCTGATGTATCGATGCACACAGAGAGATAGTGCTGGCTTCTGTCTCGATCTTCGACTTCGATTTTTTTAAGGAGTAGAGGCGTTGCAGCGTGCAACGGAAAGTATTTACCCTGTGCTTGTGCTCCACCGGATCCGCCGCTTTGGTACTTGTAGATTCATCAACTGTAACGGGGCACCCTGAAGCTTGTACTGGTAACAGTACAAGCTACTTATTCTGATGACAGAATAAGGCGGTGCCTCGTAACTTCACGTACACTCGTACGTGCAGAGGAAGACGGTAAGAAGAAGCGAGTACTTGGTTAAAGTAAAAAGTAGAACCGTATTTATAATAGTTAATGTCTGCAATAAATCACTATTTATCTTCATCTAACTATGTCTAAATACAAATGTGTAAATCAGTTATCTGCTCACCACTCATTGCGTGCGTCTGTCGTGGCGCGTCTTCGTTGGTTGATATAATGGCCTATATCAACCAATCAGGAACTACTCGTAAGTGCTACAGAATATTTGTCCTTATGACAATATTCTGAGAATATAACTCTTATAGTTATATTCTATTAACAATTTCTTATAAATTGTTATGTATGGATTCACCCCGATACATCACCCCCCCCCTTAACCATCAGTCACTTTAGTGACTGATTGACTAAATGGATACTCGTCCCAAATCATTTGGGACAGGGTTTGCACTTGTTGGTCCGAGTCCACTTTCCAACATTTCATCGCATGGTTAACAAGCCCATGCGATGCGCGAGCAAGGCCGCCGAGAGCGCGTCTGCACGTCTCTGTGCGGACGCCGAAGCAGAAACAACAGCAACTGATGTCTCATCGGTTGCTGAAGCGACCCAGCCTGTGTCACTTGGTGATGCAGGCGCTGGTCATAAAGACACTCGTGTCTTCACAGAGTACGAGCTCGGTGTCTCGTACTCTCCTGATACGGATGACGGATCCGTATCGACGGCGATCGAATCCAAGCCGCCTGCCAAGCGTGGCATGGACGATGCTTTGCGTCGCAGCATCTTTGGTTCATCTGATGAGTCAGATGAACCATCGCCGAAGCGAAGGCGCTCGAGGTCGCAAGACTCGGGCGCTAATAGTGGTGTCGGTTCTCCTATGGACACCACTTCACAGCGAGGTGCCAGTACTTCTGTCGGCACATAGCAGGAAGAGCGGGACCGCAGTGTGTTGCGTCTCGCTCCCGAGAAGAAGGCATGGATGCCTCCTAAATCTGTCATGGATCACTTGTCGGTCACGATGAGTGATCGGTATCGAACACGGTTGTTCGATATGTCAAGGATCCATCACCTTGACCCCAGCGCGAAAAACTATCGCGCTGAACACGAATTCTTCATCGATGCTTTCTTTAAACATCGATGGTACAGTGGGAATCACAAGCGTGATGGTCCCTCACTGCTCCAAGAGTGGAACGCCTACATCCATAACCTCGAGGATGTAGGTCGTGACGCTTGGAACGACAAACTTATCAAAGCTCGTGATAAGTTTGAGAAAAGAACCCCGACAGGTGCACGCTACAAGCTGCATCGTCTGTCAAGGGAGAAAGGATTACCCTGCCTCTCTTGGGGAGACTCGTGCCCATGTTGTGTGAACAACTCTGCACGAGCACCTAAGGAGGCTTACCTCCCTAATAGCCCGTGGTGGCGCGTACGTATCTCTAGTGAGATGTACGAAGAGATTGACATCCTAAAATCCCTTTACGACCGTGCCGGGAAGACTTTCTCCGGCGGTCCTTCTGCGGCACAGGATGTGCCGCGTCGTACTGCTCAACCAGACCCAGTACGTCAACCATCGTTGGGAGCGGGGCTCCCAAGAATCCCAGGACGGGGGATAGCCGCGCCACCGGACGAGATAACTCGTCCGACGTCCGTTCACGTCGCGGTGGTTCAACAGCTGCTCAACTAGATAGCGCTGGCCACCGCGAGAGTTCTATAATGGAGGTGGAGGAGGAGGGAAGACGCTCTCCACACAATCGTGGGGAAGCGTGTGTTCCCGAGAGCTTCTTTGATCGCGTAACGCAAGGGTTACGCGGCGATCTCTAACATGAGCGGGACAGTCGTCTCCAACAGGCGGACGATGTCTCGAAGCATTGAGCTGAGTTTGCCTTTGCTCAGCTTGAGAACGAGAGATCTCTAACATCTCTTCGTGACGATCTAAGGGTAGCTCGTGGGATTGCTGATCGGTCTCGGGATGAGATAGCTGCTCTTCAGACCCTTGTTGATGCCCACCATCGGGAGCACAAGGCTCTCTGCGAGATGCTAGAGCGCAAGGGCGTTCTTCATCGGAAGAAGCAGCGAACTGATGGTACGGCTTAAGCCGACCAACGTAAAACGTTGGATGCGTTCGCATCTTACGTGGTAACTCGATCGTGTATGCATTGCCTAGGCGGTGCAATACACGAAATGGGCCAATGTACTTGGGTAGTTGTTTACTGCTACCCAAGTTAATCACTACATGCTTTGGTAGATTAACCGTAGACAGTAGGACTAAGTCACATTTATTAAATAAAAGAGTGTTTGCCCTTCCATTCTTGTCAGCGTTTTGCTTTTGCTTATCCACCGCTTCGGCGATGGAGTCTTGCACAAAACGGACTACCGTTTCACGAGCCAGTATGAACTCGTCTGCTGACTCGTTAGATTCAGTGCGCTGTGAGTGCACTGCAGCAACATCAACCTTTTCTTCAGTGAGGGCTTCCGCACTCTCACTGGGATCATCTTCTTCGATATCGATGTTATCGATATCGGCATCAAACGCAGTGACCTCTTCGTCAGAGCGTGATAAGCGTGAACCAAATCGTCTTTTGCTCGCGCGAGTCTCTCCCCCCCTTGGACCAGAGTTACACTCTAGTAAGGTGGGTACACGCGGATGGCGCAAGCCATTCACGTAAAACGGTGTATGTGTCGTGGACGCATGCACCGAGTTGTTGATGGCAATCTCTACCATTGGCAAAAACTCACTTTAACTCTTAAAGGAGTGTACGTATCCTCGAAGTATCTCTTCGAGGACACGATTGGCACGTTCCGTCTGACCATCTGACTCTGGATGATCAGATGTCGACATCTTCAAGCGCGTTCCGAGTGATTTGAACACGGAACGCCAGAAATCAGCAGTGAATCGTGGATCTCTGTCTGATACAAGTTCACGGGGCAACCCATGAAGTCGGAAGATGGTGTCAATAAAGACACAAGCACAGCCACTTGCCGTGATTGACTCTGGTACAGCCACAAGGTGTACCATTTTGCTGAATCTGTCAACAAATACGAGAATACCCGTATTCCCGCGTGCGTCTTTGGGTAACCCGAAGACGAAATCCATTGAGATGGATTCCCAGCACTCAGCCGGAACCGGTAGAGGCTGTAAATGTGCACGCAGTGAAGGACTTGACTTCACTCGTTGACAGACTTCGCATGCGCGAACATACTTTCGCACAAACTGATACTGGCGGGGCCAGTAAAAGTCTCGACTTACCGTGAGATATGCTTTCTCTCGGCCACGATGTCCTCCTATAGGAGCATCGTGATACTCGAACATGATCCGCAAACGCAGATCAGTATCATCTGGAATGACAACACGTGGTGTGTCACCAGAAACGGCTGTATAATACAGTAAACCGCTACGAGCAGTGTATCGATCTGATGCAGATCGATACGCAGACGACAATCGTTTCAACGATTCTCGAGATGGTTGGGAGAGATGTGTCAACAACTTCACTATCTCACCAGCTTGGGCGTATGCCCGCCTCACATCATCATGCAACGTTGTAGATGGGACTGAGGACGTCATAACCGCAACAGTGACTGTCTCACTGTTGGGTTTCGCGACTGTTTCAAATTCGGGACGACGTGAGAGTGCATCAGCGACGACATTAAGTCGTCCTGGTTTGTACTCGACCGTAAAGTTGTATTCTGCAAAGAATGACAACCACCGCGCCATTCGTTGTGAAAGGTGCGGGCTGTTCACTGCCGTGCGTAATGACGCATGGTCAGTGTAAACAATGAAGGGTCTATCTCCTAATAGATAGACTCTGAACTTCGCGAGTGCATACTTCATGGCAAGGAGTTCCTTGTCATGCACTGGATAGTTCCGCTCAGCTGGTTGCAGCTGACGCGACTGATAGCAGACGACGCGTTCAACGCGTTCAAGATCGTACTGCATTAATGCACAGCCGATTGCGAAATCGCTGGCATCACAGACCACACGAAATGGCCTGTCCTGATCGGCTATTGCGAGGACTGGGGATTGTATCAAGCTCTGCTTGATACCATCAAAGGAGCGCTGACATTCAGCGTTCCATGACCACCTCTCGTTCTTTTTCAACAAACGAGAGAGGTGTACAGTCATCTCGGCGTAATTGCGTGAATACTTATGCAAATACGCCGCTAGCCCAAAGAATTTTCGAAGACCTTTGACATCAACCGGCACAGGCCAGTCGGTGATCGCCTTGATCTTTTCGGGATCAGGACGTACACCGTTCTTACCAACGATGCACCCAAGAAGCGGTATTTCGCTTGCTGCAAATATACACTTCTTGAGGTTTGCATACAATTGATGCTTTCGCATGATTGTAAGAACCTGTCGGACGTGGTACCTGTGAACCTCAACATCCGGCTTTCCATACATAGCCCGACTATGAATGAATACGTCATCGAAATAACTCGGCGCGAATTCTCATACTGGTCTCAACAGATGTGACACACATCTGTTGAACGTGGCATGGGCATTACTAAGCCCTTTTGGCATTACTAGCCATCCCCAGAGCATGCCGCTAGGCGTGCTAACTGCGGTATAGGGTATATCCCGTTCTCGCATAAGGATTTGATAGAAGCCATCCATCAAATCTATGGACGAAAAGATGGTACTCTTTGACATACCATCAATGATTACGTCCTTCCTCGGTATCGGCGTCTGAGCCGGTACCGTTGCAGCATTCAATTTGTTAAATGCATGCAATATCCGCCACCCTCCTGTTGCTTTTTGCACACAGAAGGTCGGAGAGCTATGTGGGGAAGTTGATTCCCTCACATGGCCCGCAGCTAAACGATCGGCAAAGAACTTGTCGATCGCAAGTACTTGTTCACGAGGAAGTGGCCACTGCTTCATGAAACAGTACTTCAAGCTTGGTTTAAGCTCGACCTCGTGTCGAATACCTTTATCCTTCGGTAATTTGCACGGAACAGTTTCAGGGAATACATCCTTGAATTCAACCGAATCTTCATAGAGAGGATTTGTCTTGAGCGATTCCCATGATTGGGATTCATATCGCTCAACTCGTGTCTTTTCATCTAGGACACTCTCGTCCATAGATGAACTACTGAGAACTCTCTCGTTCTCAGTGAAAACTGTTGCTGACCTTATGTCGGTTACACACTCGTCGTCAGCGACGAGTATGCAGATCTGCTTGACTTTGCCACTACGCAGATCACGCAAGAACCTTTTATGTTCGAGCGTTGGCAACTGAGTGATCTCCGAAGTTAACTTCGGAGGCGCAATCAGATCAAGTGTATAAGCGCCTACGCTTGATCCGTTATTGACTATGACATTCAATGTCTCTGTCATTTCCTGGGGACTTATTCCCTCAGGCCTCGAAGGACTTATTCCTTCGGCTTCCCGGGGACTTATTCCCGCGGGTTTCGGGGAACTTATTTCCGCCGTATTTGTAATCTTGGGACTTATTCCCTTTACTTCCTCTAGCTGGGGTTGCGCAACCACAGCGAGATCCTCTACGAAAGACTCTCCAGTCGATCTAGGATTATCGTTTCGCTCAACCTGAGCGATCGATTGTTTCTCTTCTAGATGTTCCCCGCTGGGGATACATCTTTGTCCCAGTCCACCCGACGTATTCGAGTGGTGGACCTTCGGCGTAGCCTGTGTTTCCTCACAGCCGCCGGAACTTTGCTCCGAAGTGTAACCGTTTGGTACACTAAGGTTTTGTGCAGTCGTACTAACGACCGTACCACAAGTGAGGCCATCGCACTCACTCGTAGTACATCCACACGCTTGTGGACGCTCCAAAACGTTCATCAGATGGCCATCTGATGAACAAGCGGCAGGCATCGTTACTGTTCGATGTTGCCAGTTTACTCGTGGTTCGTACCTTCTGAGCCACGGTATTCCAAGGATGACATCAAATTTTTCATCCAAATCCAATACGATAAAGTCATCGTCATATTGGGTATCTTCTAGCGTATAGTGGATCTTCACTATACGCTTCATGACGGTTACGGATGCGCCTGTCGCAAGACGTACCGCCATCCTCGTAGGAGGTGTGTCACATTCACTGAATTTAAAGTGACCATCTTCTAGCGATTGGCGTCGCACAAAATTGTTGGACGCCCCACAATCGACTAGAGCTCGAAGGGACAACTTATTCGTCACTTCGAGTTTCAAGGTAATGAGTGAGACCTCATTACCTAGAGCAGCAACGCACAACGTTTGTGTGTTGGGAGCAACTTTCATCAAGAGGCCTACAAATTCTCTTGACGTTGCTAGACCAGTAGGGTGCTCCGCACCTACTGATCCTGTCCGTTTTTTGACGGTCCATCCCGTTGTTACGTCTTTGCACCAACTGCGGACCCTCGTCCCTGCCCCTTTCTCATGGGTGGACGGTCACTACGCCCAGTGTCGCGAGACACTGGACGAGGGGCACTACACTCGTAAGCGTAGTGTCCTGTCTTTTGACATCTGTTGCATCTCTGCAACTTCTTGTAGCCTGTAGAGCGAGCCTTCTCGCTCTCTACATAACAGAGTTCCATCGGCTCTGGACCTCCGTTGTCATATCGTCTCGGTTGACGATATGATGTCGAGCTGGCGCGAGCCTGTCTCAGACTGAAGTCTTCCTGCTCCGCAATGGAAATGGCTTGTTCTAGTGAATCTAGTTCAAGCCGGAACAGGTGAGTCTTGACGGG